CACGGGCACCACTGTCACCTTTACCTTCCAAGGGCTCCTCTCTGAGCCCTTGCTATGTCTCAAGCATTTCATGTTTTTCCTGATGTTACTATCGCTTGGAATTTCCACGTCCACCACCACGGCTGTCCTCTGCCCTTTGTCTACCACCACGATGTCAGGTTGGTTCACCATTACCATTCGGTCGGTCTGTATCTGTAAGTCTCACAGAATCTTTGCACGCTCATTCTCCACCACCTTTGGAGGACTTTCCCATTTAGACCTTGGGGTTTCCAGCCCATACTCTGCACAGATGTTTTTGTACACTATACAGTACCAGCCACTTGGTTGTGGCTTTCCATGTAGGCCTTCCCTGCCAGCATCTCGCACCCTGCAGTTATGTGTTGTATTGTTTCAGGTGCCTCATTGCTCATCCACCACCTGGGTGTTGTCTGGTGTGGTATATCTGTGCCTCTATGTCTCTCTGAGACATTCACTGAGTACGTCATTCGTTTGGGAGTTCTCAATGATAAAGTTATTGAGTTTGGAGGATTCGTCCTGGGCAGTGGCACTCACACTCACTAGTCCTCGGCCTCCTTCTTTACGGCTTACGTACAGTCTCAGGGTGCTGGATTTGGAATGGAACCCGCCATGCATGGTGAGGAGCTTTTGAGTTTCAACATCCGTGGTCTGCATCTCTTCCTTTGGCCAACTGATTATTCCTGCAGGGTATCTGATCACTGGCAGAGTGTAGCTGTATAATTGCCCGGGCCTTGTTCTTGCCATTGAGCCGGCTTCTTAGGACCTGCCTTACTCGCTGGAGGTATTTGGCAGTTGCCGCTTTCCTCGTTGCCTGTTCGAGGTGGCCATTTGCTTGTGGTATACCGAGATACTTGTAACTGTTCTCAACGTCTGCTTTTGTTCCCTCTGGGAGTGAGATCCCTTATGTGTGGACTACCTTGCCTCTTCGAGTCACCATCATGCTACTTTTCTGTAGTCCGACTGACATCAGAATGTCATGGCTGTAAATCCTGGTGATAAGGATCAGAGAGTCAATGTCATGTAGAGGAGGTGACTGATCTTTGCTCCATTCCTGAGGCGGTATCCAGAGGCAGTCTGGTTGATTATTTGGCTAGGGGGTTCAGGCCAATGTAGAACAGCAGTGAGGACAGGGAATCTCCTTGGTAGATGCCACCTTTGATGGTCACTTGTGCGAGCGGCTTGCCATTTGCCTCAAGGGTGGTCTTCCACATCCCCATTGAGTTGAGCAAAAAAGTCCCTTAGAGCCCTGTTAATATTGTACAGCTTCAAGCCTTCCATGATCCATGTGTGGGGCATAGAGTCGTAGGCTTTCTAGTAATCAATCCAGGCTGTGCACAGTTGGTGTGTCATGACAGGCAGTCTTGGGCGACTGTTCTGTCAACCAAGAGCTGTTTGGCTCCTCTGGTATCTCTACCAATGCCTTTCTGTGCTGTGCTCATGAATTGTTTCATGTGCCCACTTATCTTAGCCGCAATGATACCTGACATGAGCTTCCATGTTGTGGAAAGACAGGTTATTGACCGGTAGTTGGAGGGGACTGCGCCCTGTCCTTTCAGTTGATTTGCATATATGTATTTACTAATGATTTTATTTTAAATTAAATTGTGACTTATGAGCAAGACCCATCCTACAGCAGCCTTCCTCTTTTGTATAGTCAATAAGTGCTGAGTCAGTGTAGGTGATATTGGCCTGTAAGTGCTGGTCGTTTTCCGTTGCATATTAAAACTGTGATTAAACTCCACAGCAGGACAAGGACAGTATAACTTAATAGTTTTTTTTAATGCTGTTAGGCCCCTTGTCTCAGGCACTTGTGAGCAATATCTTTATAAATTCACCCACCGGGACAGCTGCCTAGCTAATGAATTGTTTTTGCAGATTTTTCTTTTAAAGTTCAGAAGAGCAATATGTGACATATTTTGCGTTAACAAGGGAGACGCTTTTTCCATCTCAAATTGCCCCTCTACTTAAAAAAAAGGCGACAAGGGTACAGAGCAGCAGCCATCGGTTTGAGGGATGAAGGCCATTGAGTTAAGCTTGTAGAGTTTAATGGAGCAGGAAGGCTATAGTAGAAGTAATGACAGAGGGCAACTTAAGCCTGTCACGTACCATAAGGAAACAGGTTATATTCTGAAAGAGAAGGTTATGTGTTCACACCATAGTCTGCAGAAAGGAGTGGACAATCTGAGTACTGACGTCAACCACAGCGTTTGGCTTATCCTGGAAAAGGGCGATTAGATTTTTTTTGACATTTGGAACCACATTCTCTCATATTTGGATGTCTTACTCATATTCATTCTGACAATATTAACAGAGGTGCAGATAGGATATATTTATTGCTCAGATAAATTAGTATGTATGTTGTTTACATTGTTGCTCCGGTGTTCCCTGTCACTAAAAACTTGTACAATGTTACTACAGATGGAAATATACATACAGTATAATACAATACATTATACAACATATAACCACGAGTATAACATTACAATTACTTTTATTGATTAGTTCAGAGGACCACCACGGTTGTATTCTAAAGCGTAAGCATGGCTTTTGACAGCTGCAGTAGCGCTCATGTACAATGAACAGGTTTGATATCTGATATGATATCATATGATAAATGCTCACACTTCAGCAGTTGAGAGGTAATGTGCTTAGAAAAGTGTACAACATTTTTACAGCCTTAAACATATAGTTGTTGCTTTTCAGATTTTGCTTGTTGTGGGTTATTTTAAGAACGATAGATGAGCAACCACTGTATTTATAGCACCAGCTGTAATACATACTGTCCCATTGCAAATAAATACACAAATAAATGATACTGTATTATAACCACTGTTGAGATTATACTACTGCTGCATCCATTTCTGTTACTTCCATCTCTGTGTGGCCCAGGAGGGTAGCCTGGCTCAGTTCATTGATCGACTTCCTCCATATACTAGACTAATGCGCACGTTAGCCACCGAACACAAGCACCACCTTCTCTCACACATTCTCAAGGTACGCTTCGCCAAGTCACTGTAATCAGGCCAGTGTAATGTGTTTACCCCCGCGTGCGATTGATTAAGGAGCAGCCATCTGGAGAGGTGAGACGAGAGAAGACGAGTGATTGCTAATGAATAAAATCAAACCCTTTATGGTCATCATTATGGCTACAACGACAGACATGCAACCATCAATCAGGCGACTTGTAGCTCAACCTCTTGGACAAACTACTCTAGACATAAAACCGCCAATTAATGCAGAGCACACCTGCCACTCATCCCTGCCTGACAAACTGAACGCACACAAGATTAAAAGCAACATCTATACAGCATTAACATACAAAGCCAAATGTCACCTCACTAACCCATAATCTGCAATAAAAGTGTGTAGAAGATGACCTTTTTCAAAGCAAGTAATGTATACACACAAAACAATCCATCCTTCCATTTTCTTCCCCTTAATCCATTTTTGGGTCGGGGGGGTGGCAGTCAGAGCTGCACCCAGTACACATAGCACCAGCCCCTCACCGATCCTCCTGCAGGTTGTGAGTCCACAGGAGCTGAGATCTTTCAGTGGGGGCTTCAGGGAAAGTGGGGTTAAGTGTCTTGCCCAAGGACACAACGACAGCAGACATCAGTGGGAATCGTGAAGTAGATCTTAAGGTGGGCTCGAACCCACGACCTTCAGGCCCTAAGGCCAATGCTCTACCAACTGAGCCATTGTACACAAAACAAGTAAAATTAAATTGTACTGAATATGTTTTCTGGAAAATGTGTGGTTGATGTCATTTGTTAATTTTGTGTTGAGAGAGAGAGAGATTTACTTTATTATAAATGTATCATTATTCCTTTTATTATTATTCATTTCTATCGTCTGGCTCAGGTTAAGGTGAAGTACGTTTGTTTATTTGTCATGCAAAAAACAACTGATGACTATGAGATATAGCCTACAAGGGTGGGAGTATATAAGTTTTACTTCTTCTCACTCCTTTTTTGAGTTGACACTTACTCATTTGAAATAAATGTACATTGTAAATCTAAGTTATGTACATTAAACTCAAAATAAAACATTTCATTCATTCATTCATTCCCCACCCAATGGCATTACAATCCTCGAAGTTTGATTAAACTTTAACTTTCCATTTTACTTGGGGTATTCTCAATCATTCCTATTCAACTCAAGGCCCAGAGGCCGAATCATGCCCTTCAAACTATTTGATTCAGCCCACAGTCCATCTTCCAAATACAAAAAAATATTTTTCAATTTGGTGTTGTGTGGAATGGTGGGGAAACTTGAAACAACCTGCTCTGAACTGTTGCGATCTGCGCCTATGGAAACATTCGTTTGTAATGAGCCTAGCCCCCCAAAGAGACCGAAACATAGGTTAACTCACGTCTTTCAACACATCAATGTCATCAGCACAATCACATATTTAGGTAACATGTTATCAAAGAATTTTTTACAGATCATTTTACAATAAAAAAAAAAGCATGAAATAATGCCTGACTAAAACAGGTTAAGGCTGAAGTCAAGACTTATACGTAACCCCTTTTACAACTGACTCTATCTTCAAAGAAAAATTATACAGTTTCTCATGATAACATGTAGCACAAAACTTAAAAATTATCATGCATAATCAAATTCAATACTTCTCCATGATGTTTAACTTGTACTTTTCAATCCATCCATTCATCCATCCATTTTCTTCCTCTTAATCCATTTCTGGGTGGGGGGGGGGCTCTCACTGATCCTTCTGGAGGTGGTCCACAGGAGGATGGCTGTTGTGTCGATGACAGCATAGCCTTGATCTTTCAGCGGGGGCATCAGACAAAGTGAGGTTAAGTGTCTTGCCCAAGGACACAACGACAGCAGACTTCAGAGGGAGTCGTGAAGTAGGTCTTGTGGTGGGCTTGAACCCACGACCTTCAGGCTAAAGTAGCTACAAACTGAGCTACTGTCGCCTCCTAAGCTACTGTCGCTTAGGCTTAGGGGGCGACAGTAGCTTAGTTGGTGCTGAAGGTGCGCTGTTGGTTGAATCCGGTGAAGGCCCTGATATCTATGTCAGATACTGTAGCTGGGACTAACTGGAACTCCTGTAGAAGCTGCTTCTTAATGGCCACACATTTGTCATCTTGTGGCAGGTCCCTTAGCAGCCCCATCAACCCAGAGTAGTATTTTATTTTATTCATTCAAAGAACAAAAATATAATAATGAATAAAAAATATGGAGGCACCAGATTTAGCATCATGCTAAAAATACAAAAAAATGGTACAAATTGGTACATACTGTCCCTTAATAATCTTACAGGGACAGTGTACAATAAAGATGCGCTAGAACTACATCGTTTTTCAACCTCATGTGAACGCTGAGAAATTTGCATTAGGAGCCTGGTCGTTTCTGTTAATAGCCTGGAAACGTCTGCGCAGCGTCTCAGTATAAACAGGGCCTTAGTCTATGGTCCTGACAGCGCTTTCTCAAAAGACATTACAGAAAGCGTGTGCATGGTCAAAGTAGATGGTAGTAAATAAGGTGTGAGTGTTTCTGACTAAGCAGTTATAAGTGATATTTACAATATGAGAAACACTACACAGTGTTACAAGACAGTTACATTTGCACTTTTATAAGTGTTTAAACTGATTATTTAACCCTATAGATATTGGTTTCTTGCCGAATGTGAATAAATACAACATGGTCATTAGTTGATCATGAATCAAATCTGCACCATGAATTGAACCAATTTTGATAATCTGAATCCTAACACCCCCACATAAATCTCAGGTAGATCACGGCTCACTGATTAATGTAAAAGTAGATATTGTTTTGCTAAAGGTTTATAGTAACATCGGCCGCAGCCTGAAAAACAACAGATGTGTCTTCTACTGGAATAATCCAAACCTCATGGTTTGATTTGTACGATTGAAGATGAGATGAAGATGAGGTCATGCCTTTATCAACAAACTTCCAACTGATCAAAATATATATATTTTTTCTGCTATGTGGTTGAAAGTTTATAACATGACGTTATGTGGAAAAGTTCACTGGATCTGAAAACTTTGTCAATGCGCTTTAGTAGTTATCCTTGTCAAGCACTGTTAGAGCTAGACTGCTGTCAGACATTAATGTAGAAGCCATAAAAGGTCCTGTCATACAATCCAACAGATCTATAATCCCCCAGGCTTCATGTCACACTTGAATGTATATCTAGCACACTGACTTCAAGGGATAGCCATTGTAACTTGCTCTGGCAGGAGCACCAGCGCTGTGGCTGCAATGCCAATAGTGTGGAAATTGTTCTCTAGAGCATACATTTCATCTGACCAAGAATTGCCACCATGCGTGCTGCAGATTTTCACAGTTTAGATCTGGGTTTAACCATCTCAGCAAGGCAGAAGTAACCATATTACCCTGGCACTAAAAATACAGTAACATGTAATATTCAAAAAGCTGCTTGGACACAGGGTCTTTGGGCTAATGTTTTGATGGCAGTTGCGGAACACCCTGCAAATTGATGGTCCGCTGATGGACCATTGCTTGTTAACATGAGTGCGTCAATCTGTATTAGAGGGCTACTAGGTGCAATTAAGTTAGTAACTACTGAAACAAAATGTTTAATCTCTGTTGTAAACATAATTAGTTGTGATGATGCTGCCCTTTGATGAAGTCTGATGAGATGAAGTGACATTTTTCATGCTTTATAAGTTTTTGCGATGCGTAACAGCAGACGGCATTGGGAGAATTAACACCATGAATATGGATGTTGGGTGAACATCAAGAGAGTGAATGTGCTTACTCTATTGATTAAATCCCCCATCAGTCACCTAGTACTGCGTTCCTGTCCCAGCTCTCTTCCATTGGTTTTCTCCATCCCATCTCCCCCCCCCATGTCTGTCAAAGCGAGCGCACCAGAGTGGTTAAATTGTCCATAGCGCGTAAACGCTCGTTTATAAAAGCCTTGAGACGTGCCGGTCGTTTGCTAAAATTAATTACCCCTTTGAGCTGCGGCAAGCATGAGAGCTAGTCTGTCAGTCACGGTCCACCACCTTCAGTCTCCATACCTTCACAAAATATTTCAGCAGGGATGCCATAGAACCCATGTGTCGAACACAAGGCCCATGAATTCCCAAGTTAGGCCCGCAGCATAGTTTTTTGTTGACCCTGGCATGTTTTTATTGTCTTGGCCATGTTTTGGAGATCCTTAGTGTAACAAACTTTCCCCCTTCTACTCATTGACGGTTCTGTGTTGCCATAATTTGTCTAATAAAAATCTATTTTCAAATTATGCCATTGAGCCTATCTGTGATAGCCTGGTTTTACCATACCCTCGTACTTGTTTCGTACAGAGGGTCTGGACTTTCTCAATTGAGCTCCGTTTACAAGTGGGAGGGGTGAACTTTGTTTAAAGTTTGAAACGATTGGATCTGATTTTATGCAATCACTAGCGATTGGTTGTGACGTATGTTATGCGCCCGAGTGAGTGACGCAAGCTATCATAACTCTTGGGGGCAGCCTTGTGCATTCCTGCATACAGCATGCCGGAGATTTCAAGAAGAAGAAGAAGAAGTGACGCTTACAGGAAGTTGTAGCCTGGCCTTTGCCATCCGTAAACTCCGGTCAAATCTTTTTTCCCGGGATGTACGAAACAAGTACGAGGGTATGGTAAAACCAGGCTAAGGAAGTTGTATCCGAGAGAGAAATGCGGGTTTGGAGACGAAGATGGCTGTGAACGATAGCTGCAGGCTTTGCGAGACAAATTTAAGAGTTGGTGGAGTTATTGGAAACAGCAAATTAGTATTCGAAAAGAAGGAAGACAATATAGCATCGCATTTGCTAAAGCTCGGTTTGATAATTGACAAGACGCCGCTTTGTTCTTACCTAGCCTGGTTTTACCATACCCTCGTACTTGTTTCGTACAGATCTCAGGCTTGCTTGAACTATGTAACATGTATATAGATGTTGTACATACACATTAGTTAAATAAAAAATCTACAGTACACTACAGTATATTTTGTATGTCTTTCCTAGTTAACCTTTCTACAGAAGCCATATACATGTATCTTGTTATATACTTGAATTAAGATCCTACAAACATGTTTTGAAGAAAATAATCAGGTTTATTAAGGACAGTTTTGGGTTGTAGAAATGTACAAATGAGAAACTTTTCCAAAAATATGCACAATGAGTAACCAATGATGTGAACACACAGAAGTAAATTAAATTCTCATTGAAATTACTGCTCTGACTCTGAGCTACTAACATGGCTCCTGAGTTCATCATCATCATCAGCAGTGTCAAAATAGCCACTGTAATAAAGATCTGGCGCAGTGTAACCCCCCCTGAATCGGACGGCTGTTCTGCATGCTGATCTGCATCCACATCTCCAAACACATCACTTATGATATTTAAAATCTCCTTGGCATGCTCCAATCTGAAGACAGGAATGTTGGCAATGATGTATGACAGGTCAAATATAAACTGAGAATGGTTCAATACACAGTCCACCAGTTGTTGACTGAATCCAGTGCACAATTCAGGTGAGGTGAAGAGCCGAGTAGATGGAGTGATTAGGCTGGCTCTGTATCCATTCAGCAAATATGCAATCAAAGACTTGTCCTCTGCAGTCACGTGCCTAGATCTCAAGTTAACCCGCTTGCCCTGAATCTGTTCATAATCTGGGGTGGGTTCTTTGCATGTGCCAGATGAACAAGAACAAACAGTATGACAGTAAGTGCAACATACAGTAGATGGCCTGGTTCTACAAGGCTGGGTTCAGCCTCAAAATGTGAGAAAATAATTTTCCTGAAACATGTATTACGAAGAGCAAGCACTTCTTTTACCTCTTCTTCAGTCTTATAATTCTTTCCAGTGTTGTATATGATGCCATGAGCTGGCTGACCATTTCTTCCAGCCCTCCCCACCTGTTGTATTATGGACTCTAGGTGCCCTGGAACACCATACATCACCACATGTGAAACATTAGGGAAATTCAGGCCCATTCCCAAAGCTGTTGTTGCAACTACTACACGGCAATTCCCTTGCCCCCTCAGTGAAGCCAACACTCTGTCCTTGTTTTGGGGGAGGGACTTGCTGTGAAACATACCTATCAGGAGGTTCTCACGTTTATGCTCTTGATCACAGTCTACCCAGGCGTACTGTTGCAGTTCCCCCTTGAAGTAAGAAAAGACCCTCCCTACTGTTGTCATTTTTTGACAGTAAATAAGTACAGGCTGCATGGTTGAGCCCTTGTCCTTTACATGTTGCACAATCCAGTCTAAGCAGTTCAGTTCATTGCTGGGCACCTTGCGCAATCCAAGACGGATGTTGGTCTTGTTAGGGCTAGCGATGATGTGAACGGCACTGTCCATATGAAGTAGTCTAGTGACTCGGTTTCTGGATTTTATGTCAGCAGAGGCAGTCAACGCCAAGAAAGGTGTACCTGTCAGACAAATTTACAAAATTAAAATATATCACCCACATTTACATTAATAGTATTACTAATATGACATGTATTGATGACAGTGTGTATTTGTGTGTGGTTCTTCTGCCTGTGTCTTGCTCTATAACACTAGCTGCAGTGCATGTACTGTGGTGTCTGACTTAAGATAACACTTTATTGTTCTCACAATGGAGAAATGTACTTGTTACAACAACTCTTAAAAAAAGAAATCATAATTGTAAAATAAAAGTCCCTTAGAATCTACCTATAAAAAACATGTATAAACTGAAAACTACACTTGCACAGTGGGGTTGCCGGGGGCTGAGAGTTGGCTACATAGTGGTTATTCTTACCAGTTTGATCTTTTTCTGGAACTAAGATTGCAGCATTTTTCATGTCTCTTACTGCATGTTTTTTAACTTCCTTTTACTGAATGCACAGTACGTTTAGTACTGTACAGTCGAGTGTGTACTAACGTTACTCTTAACAACAATGCACTGAATCCAGGGCACGGATTTGTTAACATGTCAAGCAGGAACAACACAGAAAACATTCAACCCACCTTCCTTCATGATGGATCTCAGCTCACCAAGTTTAGAAAAACTCTCTCGGAATGGTGACTCGCCTTTGGACGCTTCACCCCTGAGACAAAAGAAACGGAATGCAAAATTGTCATCAAGCAACAATAGTCTACCCGATTGAGTATGCAAAAAAGCCTAATTTCTGCTGTTTTAAAGTTCACTTACCATTTAGCTTATATGTAACATGGACTTCATCAACGACGATGCCAATGATGTTGTCTTGGTAAACAGACGAGGTTAGCATTCGTCGCCATTTGGAGTTGAGTAGCCAAGACTCAGGGCTCCCAAATACCAGGCTGAAATGTCCTTCCAAAATGTCACGATCGTCGTGCACATCGAGCTGTCCAGCACTAACTCCCAACTTCTCAGCCTCCTTGACTTGATCCTCCATTAAAGCCAAAAGAGGGGAAACGACTACAACGATAGGATTAGCTTCACTAGCATTCAGCCTAGCTATCTCCTTCACCACTAACGGAGCTAACTGGAAAATAAGGCTTTTGCCGAATCCCGTGGGGAGTAAAGCCATGACATCTTTACCAGCAATGAAATTTGCTAAACATTTCTCTTGCTCCGACTTCAATTTCTGGATATTTGGGAGCAAAGCCAGAATGGATTGAAGAGCTTCGTTTATTTTTGCATATGCCGCCATTGCCAAACTACAGTGACTACAACCGGCGCAAATGCTTGACGTCACCTACAACACCCGCCTCCCCCGCTCGCTGAATGGTAGGATGAAATTCTACCGATTGAATCGCAGCCAGTGGGAGCAAACCCAGACGTACATCCCGGGAAAAAAGATTTGACCGGAGTTTACGGATGGCAAAGGCCAGGCTATATCTGTGAAGGTCCAATGTGCAGTTCATGCAAGGCAGTCCAGGATTTTAGCCATGAGGCTTTTTGCCAATAATAATAATAATGGGTTTCAGAGGATAGTGAACCTCATCCACACCTAGAGAATCAGAAGTGTACAAGGTGAACAGGAATGGAGACAGGACTGTACCCTGAGGAGAACCTACTTTAATTGGCTCAATATCAAATCAGTAGTTCAGGAGACAGTGTAGAGCAACTTCTACTTTGTCAATGAGGATTTTAATATGTAGCTGTTTTCTGCTGACATAGTCTGACAATAATGCAGTGCAGGCCTTAGTGACTACATCCTAATTGGAATGCATTCATCTTCAGTAGACTAATTTAATAAACTTGTGCAGCACTATCTGATGCAACATCGCAAAATTACTAAAAGTTTTATCTCCTGTTTTATTTACATAATTGTTCAGCTGAATCCAGTGATGCACTCTTATTCTTTTTATATTTCTACTAATGAAATGAAGCATGGGTTGCTGTTGGAAAATTGGGGTGGAAGCTGGGTGTGAGAAGTTGGAGGCGATTTGACCGATACACAATATGATTTGTCACTACATTTAGTAATGATGTGCGTCATTTTGTATTGCGTTATTGGATTGGAATGATTTTACATGCATCATAGCTTCAGATTTAGTTTGTTCAATCATTTTTTGTTATAAGACTAATATGTTTTCTTCTTGCCGACTCGTCTCATTGACTCTGGCATCAACATGGTTTCAAAAAGCCATAACTCACTTAGTGTTTAGTGATCCAAGTTCAATTGCTAAGTCACATGATTTGTCATGGAATGTGGCTAACTTTTCCTATTCCACATGATTTTGTTGGTACATCACAGGCATGCATGTTTTACAAGATAAGAATCAGTCACTTTGTTTTTCCATGCACATTCCACAAGTAGACCATTATAATAAATACATCCGTAACCTCCTCACTATTTGGCAATGGAAACACCCTGCTACTGTTGATGTAGAAGAGATTAGGAAGGTAGAAGGGGTGCAAAAGTAC